AGTCATTTCTACATACTAGCGTGTGTTCACTAACTTCCCATCACTGGCCCATTTTTTCCTCCCTTTCCCAGACCACCAAGGCCGGAAGCACTGCGGCAACCAAGGCAACAACTGGCTTTGGTTCACTATCACAGCACAATGATACAGAGCAGGTGCTTGAAAAAGAGCTGAATGAATGAATGGACTTTCATTAAAGAGCAGCTCACCAACTGAAAACTGAATAGCACAAAATGAGATGTGCACAGCAAACTATGACTACAGAAATGTACACGTCAGATGCCCATGGCACACAGGCTAGAAGAGCACTTGGACGTGCATGGATGTGCATGGCTACCTGGTGTCTCTGTACAATGCATGTATTTCGCCTTTTCTAGGACCACAATGCTTATTTGCAAACAGGGAGGAAGCCTCTCAGAAGGCTCTGTGGCCAGTTCCAGGCAGGAATCTGTATCTTGCCTCAATGTCTGCTTGCCCTCCCAGCACACGGGAGTGGATGAGTTCCATAGATCCCATCCTCTGGCCAAAGCACCCAGCACTATCTTTCCCACTGCAGCACACAGTATCATCACACAAAGGATGAAGTGGTGTGAATATTCTAGGATATGGTCCTAATAACATTACTCAAGCTAAAAATGCCATCCACTTGGAGCCTGGCAGTACAAGTTATAACTTATTCATCGAGCAAATGCAGCAGGGATGAACTCAGACTCCATTCACTAAGCATCCACTGTGTGCTTTACACACGATGCCACCTGAATGTCTCAAAAACCCTTCTTGGGTGGTCTTTTAAAGTGATTTTAAAGTTAAGGCCTCTGAATCTCAAAAGTATTAAAATACTGGGGTGTGTGTGTGTGTGCATCCGTGTGTGTGTGTGTGTGGCGGGGGTGGGATGGGGTGTCATTACTCAGATAATTCTAGCTATAGCAAGGATTGCAAAAATCACAGCAGTGGAGCCATGTTGGCAGTACAGGGGGGACACGCAGGCTTCCACTGGAAGGGCTGCCATGTTGGCAGCACAGGGGGGCATGCAGGCTTCCACTGGAAGGGCTACCATGTTGGCAGCACAGGGGGGCACGCAGGCTTCCACTGGAAGGGCTGCCATGTTGGCAGCACAGGGGGACACGTAGGCTTTCACTGGAACGGCTGTTCTGACACCTCTAGACCCAAGCCGCAGCCAGGACTGGGGAAGTTCTTGATGTGCAAATAGTGGCAACCAATTCAATTAAGAAGAAGAATACAAAGTCCTTATCTTTTAGAGAGAAGTGGCTATCGATACAATACTATGATGTCTTTCCTTTGCTTTATACATTTGGTAGCACGGGGCATAATTAAAAAAGAAAAACAAAATAAAACTGAGAAACATTCAAGCTGCAGCTGCAGGCAGGTGATACGGACATTCCTGATGTCACTCCTTGCATATATCTATTTTTTTAGGTACTCCTTCCTCTCCTCCCCTTCTCTGGTCTCCCCTTCCTTCCTCTCTTCTCTCCTGTCCTCCTTCAGCAGACACAGCCTCCTGGGCTGCAGGTTCATGACCTTCACCCAAAGTCACTCCCTTTCTAGCAAAAGCCCTGATAATGGCCTTTGCTTAGAACATCACTATTCCTTTGATGCTCCTTGACAGAGAAGCCAGCTAGTCCACCGGGCCTGCCAAGGCGAGCTCTATGCTATGCCCTCTTATCACAGGAGTGACACTCTTGTCACCTCTCCCTGCGGTGCACAGCCCGTTCCTTTAAGCCTACCACATCATACTAAGTTAGATAAAGCTGACCAATCCCAAGCTCCCTGAGTCAGCTGAGTCAAGTATATCAGAGATATAGAAACAGGCTTGTTCTGGATCACTCAGCAGCCAGGAGTGCCTTCACCTGCCCTTCACCTATGCTGCATCTGTGTTATGCATTCACAGAAGGTATTTCATTAGATTCAAAGTAAAGCAACCTCCACCCCAATATGGCAAAATACCCCAGCATTTACTATTACACACACACAGAGTCAACCAACAATACATACACATTTTCTTCTGGTACTATGTGCTTTTAAAATCCACAATCTGTAGTCTTTTCTACTCTCTTTAGCAAAAGACATAATTTGCAATCAGTCTGGATAAAGACAGACAGCCATTACTTTCTTAATGGACAACTACCCAAAAAGGCTCAGTTAAGTGATCTCAACTAGCGATCTAATCAATTAAAATTGATAACTGAAATACTTTTAACCTCTCTTTCAGCAGGCCACTCCTAGGGGGAGGAGGAAGGAATGTGAATTCCCAGCATCAAATTTAATTCCATTTCACGGATGTAGACATTCCTGCTGCCCTGATGGAGTGGCCCCTTCAAGGCAAGCCGTTTCCCTTTCTCTCCTTGAATCCAATCAGAGAAAGACTGGTTTGTGACTCCCTCTAGCCAATGCAATCAATTTTAATCCTTGCAGAAAGCCCTGTGGTCATTTCTCAAGGGTGGAAGGGCTGAGGGAGATGGGTAGGGCCAGACAGGGGGCACAGCTTCTTTGTTCTTCCAAGGGAGGGAAAGAGGGAACAGGGACAGAACAGAGCTAGACAGCCAGGTGCCACGCCCAAACCTGCCTGTCTGTATTGGCATGTGTGCTGTTCTGTAGAAGCTTCACCTCAGCCACTTGAGCTGGTGACTGAGTTGGCTGAAGTGTGAGGCACTAGCTTGGTCATTTAACATGGCTTGTGGCATAAATATTATATTCAGTACATGGTATATTGTGCTCATTCCTCAAAACTATTGTATAACAGAAGAAAGGTAAGGTAAGGTAAGGGAGGCGGTGGCAATTTCTGGGGTTTGCTCAAGGACAAAAAGAGCAGGGCAGAAATGTCTGTCTTAAATACCACAACTTAGTGGTCTCCAGCACAAATGCCAGGGACACAACTGAGCAGTTTTGTCAAAACTCTAGGCTGGGTGCGGCAGCCTAGTGGCTAAAGTCCTTGCTTTGCATGCACTGGGATCCCATATGGATGCTGGTTCTAATCTAGGCAGCCCTTCTTCCCATCCAGCTCCCTGCCTGTGTTCCGGGAAAGCAGTCGAGGACGACCCAAAGCTTTGAGACCCTGTACCCACATGGGAGACCCGGAAGAAGTTCTGGGCTCCTGGTTTCAGATCAGTGCAGCTCCGACCATTGCAGCCGCTTGCGGAGTGAATTAACAGACATAAGATCTTCCTTTTTGTCTCTTCTCCTCTCTGTATATCTGACGTTCCAATAAGAACAGAAAAAAAAAATTCAATGAAAGGGGCCTGGTGTGGTAGCCTAGAGGCTAAAGTTCTTGCCTTGCATGTGCCGGGATCCCATGTGGGCACTGGTTCATGTCCTGGCTGCTCTACTTCCCTTTCAGCTCCCTGCCTGTGGCCTGGGAAAGCAGCAGAAGATAGCCCAAGGTTTTGGAGCCCTGCACCCATCTGGGAGACCTGGAAGAGGATCCTGGCTGGTTCCTCGCTTTGGATTGTCTCAGCTACGGCCGTCATGTCCAACTGGGCAGTGATCTTTCTGCCTCTCCTTCTCTCTGTAAATCTGACTTTCCAAAAAAAAAAAGACTTGAACAAACACACCTTAATGAAAGAATCATTAATGCTTGGTGGATTTTCCTGCATGCAAATGACATCTCAATAAAACCGGCTTACAACAATCATACTGCAGACAGTGGCTGTTTGCTGTCTCTGCCTGCCCAGCCCTATCCACTCCATGACTGTCATGTGACTCTGGCCCAGGCAATTGGTGAGCCATACTTTTCCCACCAGGGATGGTCAGCGGTCCCAAACCAGGGCAAGGGCACTTAGGGCAGTAACTGCAGACTTAATACACACTATATGGAAGGGTGGGGCATTAGGTACAGCAGTAGGGTGCTGCTTGGAACACGCACAGCCCACATTGGAGCACTTCGGTTTGAGTTCCAGCTCTGCCCGATGCCAGCTTTCTGCCATATATGTCCTGGGAAGCAGAAGGTGATGAATCAAGTACCTGCAAGGTCCCTGTCACCCATGAGAGACCGTAGCTTAATTATAGGTTCTTGGCTTTGACCTAACCCAGCCCTGGCTGTTGTGGACATTTGGGGAATCAAAGAGCATATGAAGATGTCCGTCTCTGTGCTTTTCAAAAGTAATGAAAATTGGTAAACAATTTTTAGTAAGTTACCAGGAAAGAGAAGCCCTTTCTCTGTCAGCACTGTTGGCTCAGCCATCATGGGGCTGCTGCCCACCACCTAGCACTGCCTGTTGAGAACTGTCCTGAGGACCAAGGAAAGCAGAGCTGAGAGTCAGAGAGGAGCCCTTCCTGACAACTGTTGGGTACCAGACGCAGAACTCCTGGACTTTCCAGTAACATCAGTCAGTTCTCCTTTCTTTTTCCTTAACCTAGCAAGGTTGGGTTTTCTGTTTCTTACAGCCACAGACTCCTAACGTACCACAGTGCCTCAGAGAACGAAACCCACATTGCCACAGTGTACGCAGGCAAAGGGAAGAGCAATACGAGAAGGGTCTGGGAACACGAGCCAGTTCTGTACTCACTGAAGCGTTTCCGTCTCAGCCTCACGTCGAGGAGGCCACTGAGTCAAGGCGTGGTCAAATAAATGGCCCCAGGTTATCAGCTGAGCGCGTGCTCCTGTGGCTCCCAGAGCCCTTGCCCTTACCTACACACTGGCAACCTGCTCTCTGTAAGCTTGTTTTCTTTACCAGGAGAGTCCTTTCATCGTTCGATCACACAGGAAATGGGGCCGCCATGGCTGCACAGAGGAGCAGAGACCTGGGGGCTGCACCACTTGTTCCCATGTCCTGATGTACCTTTCAGCAACTCCCTGATCTTCAGAAAGCAGCACCTGCAATTCGGTCTCGAGGTGTACAGTCTCGGGGACCCTTTTCTTTAGAAATCTCATGGGACACTCATACTGTTAGCTATGGTCACAGATTAACAGCAGTACAACATGCAGGCCATGCCCTGGCCCTCCCAGGCATGTGCGAGCGAGGCCAGCAGTGGTCCTGCCCACTCACTCAGATCCAGGACGTCATCGGTTTTGATCAGGTCCTCCTCCCGAGTCAGCGGCAGCTGGGTCTCAGGCTCGCCTCGTAGCTGCAGCGACAGGGATCGCAGCATGAAGAACACCCGGATGGCCTGGGTAGACAGTGCAGAGCGAGAAGGGTGAGATGACAGAGGCACTTCCACGAGATGTCCCTACCAAGGAATTGCACAATGGCTCGAGGTAACAAAAAAGGAACACACAAAGGAAGCAAAGCATGCCTGTCCTAGGACAGCATTTCCGGTGCTTTCAGAGTCAGACAACCAAAGAGGGGCAGCCCACCCTCAGTAACCCATGGGATCAAGCTTGCGTCGTTTTCCTACAGCTGAGCACTGGTCACCTATCAGAACCTGTCCTCCAAGTCATGTGACCTTATGTTCCCTGCCCAGCAGTTGGCCTCACTTCACAGAGAGGGCAAGCTAAAAAGCTGAAGCCACCTGTCTGAAGCCATGTTTCCAGCGACGGCTAGAAGTCTGGCCTTCTCCAACTCAACAGTCAGGGAGAGATGGAGAGACTCAAATCATAGACACTTCCAGTTCCTGAATGTGAAGCTGAGGGACACAGAAGAGGGTGAGACACACAGGGGAGAAAACCCAGTTATCATCTGTCCCCTGTGCCTAGAGTAGTCCCTCTATCTCTTGGCCCCTTTGGCTTTATGGCAGGGACTACGGCACTGCAGACAGGGCAGAGGCTGGCAGCTGGCGGGTGCATGGGCTGTCAGTTTCCTGAATACCCCTTGGACTTCCCCAGCCAGTCCTCTTGGTGGCAGAGATGGCTCTGGCAGCACCATGACTCCTGGCCCATGGAAGAGATTTCTGGTCAGAATCCAGTATGGCCCTCAGACATTGTGAGAAAGCAGGAAAAAAGTAGAGTCGCCCAAAGCCAAGAAAGTTTATGCAGCAAGCAGCCTTCGGCCCCAGGGACAGGCCTGCCACCAACCAGAGTCAGGAAGCAGAGGGGCAGGCAGGGATCTCCCCACTGGAGGCGGAATACTTGAGTGAAGCTAGCTTAAGTCAGACAGATGAGGTCTGCAATAAATTCTCGGCTCCACCATGCCAGGCAAGGTCTCTAACTTTGGCAGCTTTCATTTTCCTTATCTGTGAAATATGCACAAGAGTCCTAACTTGCAGGGTTACCGGGTTCTGAGACAATGCTGGAAGGGAGGCAGCCAGCACAGTGGTCCACAAATCACCAGACTGGGCAGAGGACTTTGGGACAGAGCACGGTCACTAAGGCAAGCTGCACAAAGGGAATCCTGATGCACATTTGCTCTTCCTGTTAACATCTCTGACAGCTACAGTCCTGACCTGAGAGGAGGGTGCTCATTACACAGGACGGTGCCTCTTAAAACAAGAAAACCATCCTATGCTGCCTGCCAAGAGCTGCTAAGGATGCTCATCAGAAGTGCTAAACCTGAGGAACCAACACAGCCCTCGCTGTATACCACAGAGCACTAAAGCTAAGGTGCTGGTGCTAAACAACCTCAGTATTGGAGCTGATTGCTCTCAAGTTTCTGCTTTTATGTTTTATTTCCTTGGAAGGTGGCACTGGGGGTGGATGGGAGGGGGCTGGGATTTTTCTATCTTCTGGTTCATTTCCCAAATGCCCACAAGCATCTAGGGCTGTGCTAGGCCAGAGCCAGCAACCTAGAAGGTAATCCACATGGGTGGCAGGGACCCAAGCATAAGAGCCATCACTTGCTGCCTTCCAAGATATGTATCAGCAAGAAGCTAAATCAGAAATGAAGGTGGCACTTGAGCCCAGTTGGCCACACAATACCTGTGCCACAATGCCCTTCCCTTTTCTTCACAGTTTTTAAAAGTGGTCTTCATAAAGACACATGCAAGTCAGAAGGAAAAAGAAAAGATGTTCAATTTAAACAAATCAAAAGGCTTCTATGTGTTAAGTTCTGACTGTGTGCCAGGCACCTGACTGTAGCTTTAAAGTCTTGTGGAAGAAGACAGAGCCGCATGGGTGGAACGGGCTCTGACCTCACATCTCCTGCTGGTTGAGCTGAGTCTGAACTCAGTCACGTCTGACGCTCGTGTCCCTGACCAAACGCCAGCCCAGCTGCGCAAAGCACAAGACACAGTTGGTCACTTGAAATAGCTGTCAGCATGATCTCTTCAAGGAATCATGGTAGTGGGACAAGGGAATAAAGAAAAGAACGCATTGTGTTAAGACCAAGTCTTAAAGGAACGCTTCACTTCCATGTGTCAAAACCCGTTTCTTCTAAGGGCCAGAAGGCAGAGAACTCACACAGCACCACAGCTGGGAAAGAAAAAAATGAAAGCGTGTGTGGCTTTCTACGACCCGGCGCCCTGCAAACCTGAGGCTTTCCAATAAACACAACTGAAGTTAGGAATTTGGCTCTGAATGTAAGCCGTTTTGGTAAAACATCTGCTTTTGCTCTGGGAAAGACAAATGGAAGGTATTTCCAGGAATACAAATAACAATCTAAAATAACTAAAAATATAAAATAGGAATATAAAACTACCAAATAAAATCTCTCAATACTTGCCTTCTTCCTGCCCCAATTCCTCGGCGAGGGAAGAGCGTATGAGAAGGCTGAACCCCTGAATGTAAGTGATTTCCCACTGGCTACGGAGGGTTACTGAAGTAGAAAGTGGCTCCCAGAGTATGGAAAGGTCTGGAAGACCTTTTAACCTTCCCACAGCACCAATAAACCCACGAAACCCCACTAAAACATGAGGAGGTACAGGCATTTGATGTAAAGATTAAGGCATCACTTGGGACATCCCATCTCATCTCAGAGTCTCGGGGCTTGAACCACAACTCCACCTCTGATCCAGTTTCCTCCTACTGTGTACCCAGGGATGCAACAGTAACAGTGGCTCAAGCACATGGGCTCCTGCCATCCACGTGGGAAACTCAGATTGTGTTATGGCTTCCTAGCTTTGGCCTGACCCAGCCTAGTATGATGGCATGTGGGAAGTGAACTAGAGCATAGATTTCCTTTTGTCAGCCTCTCTTTCTCTCTTTCAAATAAAATGAAAACAGGTAAACATAAACAAAAACAATGTGTGGTTATGGGCCGTATACACCCCACCACCCCTGAGGCAGTTACTCCACAGCCTGCTAGGGACTGTCTGGGGTGGTGCAGTGTCATCTCATTCAAGCTGTTTAATGACCCTTTGTGCTCCCCACCTTACAGAGGAAGATGAGGGTGTTGGGCAAGAATGTTGGGCAGCCTGCCCAAGGTCACTCAAACAAGAACGATTCCAAAGCCTATGTTCATCAAAGCACACTCGTTGGCTTTCTAAAGATGTAAAGCTTAAGACCAGGATTTTCTTGAGTGCTTTTTGTTTCATTGCTAAATAAAAATGCAAAATTGAAAGTATTACTAAAATGGAAAAAGAAATTAGTCTTTCAGCTTCTCCCAAAGAATATCAAGAAGATGGATCTGGGAGAACAGATTAGACTTAGAAAGGGGCCACAGCTAAACAAGCTCAATTATAAGAGATGCCTCCAGGTGCTTTACTCTGATCATCAGAGAAAAGGAAGCTCCGAGTCTTCAGGGAACTGTCCGGTTAGCAGGGACAGCAGGACAGCACCAGAGGCAGGCGGACCTTGGCTCGCCTAAGTCTTGGCTGTACATGTAGACTCCCCAAGTCCAGGCATGCGCTTTGGAGACTGAACACCCAGGGGCTATGCCCCATGAAGGGGCCACCAGAGGCCACAGGTGGCGGCCTGAGCCTGGGGCAGACCCTGGGACACTCAGTTCCTGCCCTGCTGCTTCCTTGCCACAATCAGAAGCTGCTCAGTACAGGCGGCGACAGTCCTTTGGGTTAGAAGCCCAGTGAGGCTGGTGAATGATGTGAAAGTCAGTCATCCTTAGAAGACAGCTAAGCAGGAGGACATGAGTACGGCCCATTGGGAAAGCAAGTCCGCAATGTACAGAGAGCCACCAAAAAAATGCTCCTACCCTTTGAAACAGAAAGTCCACTTCTCGGAACTTAGCCTAAAGAAACAGTTCAAGAGAAAGAAAACACGATATTCACCAAGTGGCTCATTAAGTTTAGTTACAAATAATATAATACTGGAAGCAATCAAGCAATCAAAATGTCTACTAGCAGGCCAATGTCTGAATAAATTATGGCAGAAGTCACCAGCTAAATCTTTATGCAGCCTTAAGAAATCAGACTTACTAAACTGGATCACAGCATGGAAAACTTCTTGTGCTGCAATGAAGAGAGGGAAAACGGGGGTGAAGAGATGAGAGCATGAGCAGGGCACTCTCTTTGCAACATTATGAACCCAGACGCAGGGGCAGACACACCAAAAAATGCCTATTGCTTTTCTTTAGGGTGATGAAACCATGGGAAATTCTTTCCTTTTACTTTTGAAACTCTATGATCTATCACTGTGTTTCTTTAATGTGTAACACACATCCAGAACATAAAGCAAAATATTTTTATTTCCTCAAGGTCAATAGTGATAAACACACAAATTGCTTGTGGCTTTATGGGAAACAGAAAGTAGGGACAAACAAAACCCAGTGCAAACAGATTCATTTCAGTAATGGCTTCCAAGGTTACTATACTAAAAAGGGCTAGTGCTTGAACTCAGATTTTGACATTCACGCAAGAAGTCCTTTCGCCAAGTCCTTCTCTCCAGGCGTAAGCCTCAGGAGGCCTGGAGGCGCCTAGAGGCCGCTGTGTCTTTCCCATCTGGTCAGCTGCAGTGCTGCGCTGTTGCTTGGCCAGCACTTCCTGGGTGCTGCCTGCCAGGTACTACTGGGCTCCTTGCTTCTCAGCCACACTCCTCTCTGCTTCGGGCAGCAGTTGAGAGGAAAACACCGGGAACCCGCAGGTTGCGTAACTTGCTCAAGGTCACACAACCAGAGTTGAGACTGGGCCAGCGGTTGGTCTGATGAATGAATCTGACTGTCTTTACTGTTTCTCTCAACGGTGGCTCCTCCCGGGGAGCCCAAGTCCAAAGCTGTGTCTGAGCATTCTCAGAGGATGCCAAGGGTCCACTGTCACAAACTCTCCTTGGCAGCATGGTAAGGGGCACTCCTGTGTTTTTAGTCGGAACACGATCTCTTCACTGTTTCAGCCTCGTACCATGCACAGTGCCTGGCACCCAGAGAAAGCTCAACAAACACGTGAGCCGAGAGGATAGTGGGAGCAATTTATCAAGCGCAGGAGGAAGAGATAGCCTCCTCTCTTTCTCAATTCTGTGGGTAGATGCCTCCTGGTGTCTACCAAGGCTGGCCACACTCCTGCTCTCCCCGCAAGGCTCTGCTGTGGTCATCCTGAGCCACACTCTTCCCACCTCAGAAGCTCATAAGCTGCTCCTGCCTGCACAGTGCTTCCCTCAACTCTGAGTTCAGGATTCTTGCTCTGCAGCCTTCAGCTAGAGGTCGCCAGCAGGGTAGTTCTTACTGATCCCTCTGTCCTGAGTGAGGCCAGCCCCCAGTCCCTGAGCACAGCAGGCCTTCCTCCACCCATCCTTGCACACCAAATCTGGTATTTGTTCACAGAGGTGCAGCCACTGCCTGGGTCCCTACCAGAGGCACAGCCTAGCATGCAGCACACAACTGGGATCCAGCTGCTCTTTGATGAATTTGTGATTGAATATTTTAAAAGTCATAAACGATTTATCAGTGAGCATTGTTTGAGCTTCTCTGACAAGTCCTTAAGGAAAATAAAAAGTGAAAATAACCAACCTCTAAAAAATTTTTTTAAATTCTAGTCAGAGAAGGGGGTGGTCTAACAAAGAGAGAAAACCTTTGATTCTACAGAGCTAAAGTGGAATGCTTTTTGGATACAAGCAAGAGTGGAAATAAACCACATAAACCTTCAGTTGCTTGCTAAACCATACACTTTCTTCAGCTAAAATTCAAAGCACACTGCCCTGTTCTGATTTCTGAAATGGGCTTGAAGGGCTAAGCTTCTGGAGGATTCCAGGCAGCTACCTTGCTACAGGAACTCAAACTAACGCAGGTGGCTCAAACTCCCCTTCGGAAACTGATTTTTAATTCACAAAAGGAAACTTCTGCAAAGATGTCTTTGCTATCAGGTGGCCTGCCCTCTTCCGTGCTGCTCTGCTGCCCAGGGACCCCCCAGGAGCTGAGTACTTTCTGGGAATTGGGCAGACAAAGGCCTAACAAGAGACTCCACAAAAGCCCACATGTACCAGGGGTTGGGCATCCCATCTAGGAAGGAGGTGAGTGGCTCGGCCCCAGAGACCTGCAATTCTGTAAGATATGAGCGTAAGGGGTGGAGGACAACCACCACAAAGGCAGCCTGTCCTGCTGGCTCCTGGGTCCTCACTGTACCACTGGAAGCGACAGTGGCTCTGAGTGGACACACAGCCCCCTCTTACCCACATGTCTGACAGTCTCTTCTCTTTTCCATTTCTTTTCTGTGGCTTAGAACCAGCTATCCCAAGCCAGTAGGGTGCCAAGACAGGAAACAGAATCCTGAGGTGATGCCCGGGTCAGAGTTCTCCCTGGACTCCAAGGCCTCTCCAGCCTAATGACCTTCTACTTTGTTCCAGCTGAGGTCGCCTTCATGGAGACGCTGCAATGTGCCACAACTCTTGAGGCCTCAGCCTCCACATCCACTGTCTTGGCTTCAGCACCAACTCCCCTGTGTTTATCCCACCTTCCTTGGGAAGTGGCCATACGGCCCTTTAGTAAGAGCCTGACCATATACCCTGCTACTGCCTTTTCCCCACCTCACCCTCTACACTGATCCTTTGGGTCTGTGTTTTGGACATCCCTGTGTGTGGCTAGCAGAAACAATGAAGATTGCTAGGACGGGAGCAGCACGCACAAGGAGCTGCTGACAGGGGGCACACTCAGCAGAGCCACCTCCCATAAAGGCCAATGTCCAGTAGGAACACTGCCACCCACAAATGAAACCGCATGCGAGACCATAGTGCCTGGAAGGAAGACAACGACAGCTCAGCCAGGGTGGGGCCTGTGCTGAGGTTTTGTGGGTTGCATGAGACAGCTGGGAATGTGGATCGACACAAGACACACAGGTCCTACTTCCTCTGCACCCCCAGGCAGCCGGCACAACTGCCTGCTGGGGTGGGGCGGGGGCTCATCTCGTGGGAGGAGCACACCAGCATGCCTACTTTTCCAACCCCAAAAGGGAAACACCTCTGCAGCCACCCACACAGGCAACCCAGGCCCTGCAAGGAAGCCCTCTAACTTATCCACTCACTTTCACGTTTCCAGGGCAGGATTTTCTAGGAAGAGACTGCTCTGCTTTCTAAGAAAGCAAGTGTGATCTGACGGGGGAGATAAAATACCATGAACGGCCTCCCGGAGACTGCTCCCTAGAGCGCAGCTGCGGCCGTGCTAACAGCGGAAGCATGCATCGGCCGCTTCTGAGAACCTGCCCCCCGTGCCTGCCGCTCCTGCATGGCCACCAGGAAGCCCATTCTGTTTGTGTGTGCTTAGCCCTAAGATCTATCACACAGATCTGTATCACATCTTCTTGGAGGTCCTGAGACCCCCGGGGAGAGCTCAGCCACCCACATCCCCTGCGCCGGATGCACTGTTTGTGGTCTGCGGCCTCCTGGCTCCCACTCAGGGCTCAGGTCCGTGAGCTCCTGTTGAGACAGGCTTTGGATTCCGGCCCAGAGAACCTTTACTTTCCAGAATGAGGGGGTCAGTGGCACTCACCCGCCGGGTCTTCTCCACGTCGCCACATGGCAGCCGCTTCACGAAGTCAATGCCCGTCAACGGCGTGCCTGTCGGGGGCAGCAGGATGGAGGCATCCATCATGAGATACTCCACATTCATGGGCTTCATCTAGAAGAGACACCACGGCAATGCTCAAAGAGGGCCCCTCACCATGGAAAGTAGGTCGGGTTACCCAGGCTTGTGCTGGCACTGGGGAAATGAGGGACAAGAAGCCTGCATTATGAATGCTGGACCTGAGTGCTGGAGGCAGCAGCTCTGGCTCCCTAAGTTATGGACACCTCCTTCCATAGAAACAGTTGCCTTCTCACCCACTCACCGCCCAGGCCCTCTCAGGAAGGGGACTGCTGCCAGCCAGGATTGCACCCTCTTAGCCCCTCCCATGCCAACTACAGCTGTGCTGATGAGGGCCTGAGCATCCTAAGTGCTGACCACAGGCAGTGCTGCACCTGAAGGCTGCAGCAGGGATGCTTCCCACCGGGCTGATCAGAGGACCGGGGCTCTGAGAAGTGGGGGGTGCATCTGGGGCCCTCAGCTGGTGGCAGAGTCGAGATGCCAGCAGCCCAGGCCTGTTTGCTTCAGCTACCCCAGCTGGATTTCTACCTAGGACTGATATTCCCCTTTTCCTTCCTCGTTCTCTGACATTTTCCCCAAGGTAACATCACATCATTTACAGAGCATCTATAAAGTACCAGGTACCTGCTCTGCTCATCTTTGGCTAGATGCTGGTGCCCACATCTTAGAGGATTATACTGAGCTCAGAGGAAGGATACTTGTTCACAGTCACAGGCCAGGTGAGCAGAATTCTGCCTCCTTCCATACCACCTCCATGAAGCCTTCTCAGATTACTAAGTCAAGGGTAGCATCACCCACCTCCCAGAACTGACCTCTCAGTGTATGCACAGTCAGCTGAATACTAACACTTCATTTAGTTAGCACCACTAAGGAAGGACATGACACAAAGGAAGGCTGTCTATGTAATTAATTTTACTCTTGTCATTTCAGAAGAGGGGAATCAAACAGATCATGTCTCTATCCTGTAGCATAAGGCTGAGGGAACAGGGCAAGAACGTGGTGAGGTCCCAGCTGTTCAGACACTCAGCAATATGCCCATGGTGTTTACCTTCCCCGTTAAAGAAAGTGATCCTGATGCTGCTCTCGGCATTGGCCTATCTCACGGCCTTCCTGCCTCCCTTTCATTCCATTGCTATCAAGCTCGTGGCTTTGCCCTGAGCTCCAGCCTGCTGTGAGGTGAGTGGATCCATGGGCCCTAAAAGTGTATTACATTAAAACAGAGGTACTGGGACCGCTACTGTGGTGTAATGCGTTAAGCTGGAACTAGCAATGTCAGCATCCCATGTGGCCACTGGTTCAAGTCCCAGCCATTCCCACTGACGATGCGGCTCTGTTAATGTGCCTGGGGAAGCAGTGGAAGATGGTCCTCATGCTTGGGCTCCTCCACCCACTTGGGAGACCCAGTTGTAGTTCTGGCCTCCTTGCTTTGGCCTGGTCCTGTCCCAGCCATTATGGCCAATTGGGAAGTGAACCAGAAAATGGAAGATCTCTCTCAACTTTTCAAATTAATAAATAAATCTTTATAACAAAAGCTTTTTAAAAAGACAACCACCAAAGCTGTTAAAGAAAATGATGAAAGGGCTGAAAGTCAAGTCTGGCTTTAGCACAGCAGCCTCTGTGCAGGGGGCAAACAGCGCTCAGGCGCTGCCCCTACCTCCGTTTGCTACGAGGCTGAACTGAGGACTGACCTTCAGCCGAGGGCTGAGGTTGTATCATCTCTGTGTTTCTTCAGAATACCAGGCATTGTGCAAGACATGCCATAAACACTTAATTAAAACCAATAAAATCCAGGAAGCTTCCTAGATGGGGAGGGAGGTAAATAAGGGGGGTGGCGGTAAATCAATGTTTATAGTACAAGGACACTTGCTGAGCAGCTCCCATATAGCCTGGGCAGCAATGTGCTGTGGACTCCATCCTATAGGTGAAAACCAGCAGAGCTCAGAATTTAAGCAATCTTCCTGGGTCACAGTTAGTGAGCAATAAAAGCAGACACTGAACAGGTGTTTAAGAGCCAGAACTTCTCCACAGTCAGGTGATGCTGCAGACCAAACTTGAGGAACCTTTGTGGAAGGGGCATCACAGGGGCAAGCCAAGATGGCAAATAACCAGGAGAGACGCACTCCTCCAGTTGCTGCTCTGAGGGGTGGGGAGGCTGATCCACAATTCTGAGTGCTGACAATCCATCAGCAGCAGCAGGAGGGCGGGGAAGGGACCTCTCTGCAGACGAATTGGGCCAATTTACACAGTTCCTGGCAAGGCCGCGAGGGCACTAGGTGCAGACACCCAACGCTGGAGTTTGGAAGCCAGGGAGCCACTTAGCACACACTGCCTGTCTTTTCTTTTTGACACTTTAAACACTTAGGTTTATTATAAACTTCCCAAATCACTTTATGCTTTGGTGAATAATGTCCACAAAAAGGATCATTTATCATCTACTTATTGAGTGTTTACTAAAAGGCAGGTGTCAGGGATGCAGACAAATGAACTAAGAGACAATCTTTATCTACCGAACCTAGCAGTGCCCCGTTCTGCTGGCTGCAGGAAGAGAGGACAGACTACAGTAGATCTGTGGGAGAACTACAAGCTGCAAGTCTCATAACACACAGAGGGGGCAGGGGACTGAAGGCTCTGCCGGGCAGATGTGAGCACACCAATCCACAAGTTCGCCTATTTCTTCCTCAGCAAAAGGGGGAGAAGGTTGACAAGAGCTCTTCCTGTGGCTGATATGAGGATGAAGACATTCAATCTGTCCAGGAGCTTTACACGCTGGGCAAGAAACAAGCTCTCAGCCGGAGGCACCTCTGTGCCCAGCGCATTCAGATCAAAGTGGTCTTTGTGACTCCCCTGACCAACACAGCCACCTTGGGTGTGAAGGGAGGGGTGGGGACCAAAAGGCACCATTTCCACAGACTCCTTCACTGATTCCACACCACAGCCCCCCTGGTACGTGACGTCTCGGGTCAGGGGTATCGGGTGTGCTCCTGCCCCTTCACTTACTGTCATGCTCCTGTATTCATCTTCAAACATGTCCAAAAAAATTTCCTCTCCCTAAAAAGAAGAGAAAAAAGGAAATACAATTCACATTTTTCCCACAAACAACAAAGTATTATAAACTCCTGTATGTGGCTTTTGGAGCCATCTGTTTCTCATTAGTGAATTCTCGTAAATCACCAGGAAGTTAAATACACACGTGAAAACACGTACACACACAAGCTCAGAGGGAGGAGCAAATAGCAAACTGTACTCAAAGCAGCTCTTTTATTGTTTTAAAGCATATGAAGTTAGAGTTCTTCCCTCAGAGTTTTTGTTTTAAAAAAAGCAACAAAATTACATTATATGTACTGAAATATAGAACAGGTTAATATTTCAAGTGTTTGACATCCTCTATGTGTTGAGAATGGTTGGGCAAAGTTGTCATGTTAAGTATATGACTCAACTTCAGAAAGGAGAATTCAACACACTTCACACTACAGCTCTGTGGCTCCTTGCATTTGTTTCAGAGGAGGCCTTTAGGGTCCTGGAGCTCCTGCAGGCCGAGGAGGACCCCTGCAGAGCAGCAGGCAGGAGCCCAGCTTTGCCTTTCCACAACAGCCTTTGCTTTGCTGCAAGCACAGTGCCTGTGTGTTGTACGCGAACACACAAAGCACAGACCTCAGGGTGTGGCAGGGTTACTGCTCACTACCGACCTAATCGCTTTGGCCAACTACAGCGAGAATGTACCTGCCTGCTCTCATGAATTCTGAACCAAGCTCTTTATTATGCACACAGCAGAGTCAGGGTGGGCAAGCAAGTAGATCCTTCGTACATTTTTTTCCAGTTGTGTTAATCGCTAATAAATCTGAACATTCTTGCAAGGTACAGATTTCACCAAGACAATGACAAGCCCTGACAACACTCAAAAGCTTCTGAAACATTTTAAAGGGGGTAACCTTATAGGACAAAAGCAAGGGTGGAAACTCTGGGTAGGGAGAAGCGAGCCAAAATTCAAATACAGCTGTCCTTTTGTTAAAAAAAAGAACAACCCTCTGGGGAAAGGCCTAAGTCTCTATGTTTCTCTTTTGGGGGATGCAAAAGCTTTCTAACACAGTAACAACTTACAGCAGTTCTGTTGCAGGGTGTGAGTGAGATCACACCAGACATGTCTAGGGTTTAATAAGGGGTCTTTATTAATCAACCTTGGTGACAAGACAGCACAACAGCAAATCACAAGTCCATACAGCAAGCCACCCAATCATAATCCAACCAATCATAATCCAACCAATCATAATCCCAAAAGGAACAAATGGTCATTATCCTTAAGTCCATCCGTTAAACTGAAGACTTATGTCCCAGCTTCCCCAACAATATAAGCTATCCTAAGAGATGTGCAATGAATAACCTGAACACTCTTACAAAGCTGTAGACATTCACCTTTCCCTGGCTTCTCTGTCCACATTCCACTACCACTAGGCCTCACCGCTGCTAGAACTACTGACAGCACACAAACCAGAAACAACACTATTAAATCCATTGTCCCATAGAAGCAGTACACAGGGACCATGCTCAGGGGATTACCTGTCCTGGGTCAGCCAAGAGTTGAGGTGCCAGAGTAACAGAAGCACCAGGCCAGAAACAGTGAGCCCCTGCTTTCCAGGCCTCTTAAAGGGGCTTGTGAGGGGAGTGGTTACACAACAATGCAATACCGTCCCCTCTCAGTTGACAGGTGAGTCACAGGTGGGCAGGAGCGAATACCTAAGTGTTGTGGGCTAAGGAGTTGATTAGAGCTCATTGGAATGGGCAGGAACAGGATCTAGACTTGTAGCTAAAAACACCTAGACTAATTGGATTTCCAATATCCTGGCTAATTTAGGATGTGGGGGAAGTGGTTGATGATGGAATTAACATTGCATTGCTGTTAGGACCCACCTTCAGGGCAGAGGGTAGAGAACACAGCCACATTTCATTTGCCCACTGTCAATGCGTGCTGGCTATCACTGGCTGTAACCCCCTAACAGTTCCAACAGAACTCAGGCCTGACAGCCACACGCGAGGCTTCCATCTCCTTTGGGCTTGGCAACCAGGAACATGCCCTCACTGGTGGTCTGGTCTGGCCGCAGGGGTTTTATAGGGAATCTGGAGTTTTCTCCTCAGTGCCTGGGGTTGCAGTAGGTGCCCTGGCCTGATAAGGCCACCACCACAGGATGGGGTTAGCTGAGCCTGGCAGGATGGATGTCCAAATTATGGGACCTCAATTTCTCTTAATAAATACTGACCACAGTGGGAAAAATCTTCCAAAGATTCCTGTTGAAGAGGAGCCAGTTCCATGGCTCAACAGGTTAATCCTTCACCGGCAGGTGTGGGCATTCAATTTGGGTCCTGGTTTTAATCCAGGAAGCAATTGCAATTAGGATCCAGAGAGATCTGACATGGAAACAAGGGAGGGTGGCAGGCCCAGTGGACACACGGCTCGGCTGACAAATGCTGGCTGCTGGCCTCTCCCCAAGTGCCCATGTTGCCCTCCTAACCCCCAGGGTGATGGTTTCAGGAGGAACAGCCTTCAGGGTGATGAAGTCATGAGGCTGGTACCTTCATGAATACGATGCAGGTTCTCACAGAAGAAGTCCCAGAGAGTCCTCCCCACCACCCCTTCTGCCATAGGGTACCAAGCATCACAATGGCTGTCTGTCAGCCAGGAAGCAGCCTTCACCAGACGTGAGGTTTGCTGGAGCCTGCAACATGGATGCCCCGACCTCCTGCACTGTCACAAGTTCCCACTGTTTACAAATCACCCAGTTTGTGGCACTTTATTATAGCACTCTGAATGAACTTAGATATATGCCTTTCAAAAAGAACTAAAAATGATTCTAATCAATTATTTTAAAACGAATAATCTGGAACCTGAAGTCAAATCTCTACCAAGCTTTCAGACATTGAACATCATGGTGGTTCTTTACAAAACTTGCCCAAAATTGGGCCAGCACCATGGCTCAATTGGCTAATCCTCCACCTGTAAGCACCAGAATCCCAGGTGGTTGCTCTGCATCCCACCCAGTTCCCTGCTTATGGCATGGGAAAACAGAGAAGGATGAGCCAAAGCCTTGGGACCCTGCTCTCGAGTGGAACACCAGAAGAAGCTCCTGGCATCAGATTGGCTCAATTGTGGCCATTTAGGGTAGGGAATGAACCAGTGGAGGGAAGATCTTTCTCTTTGTAAAATCTGCATTTCAACAAAGATAAATAAATCCTTAAAAAAACAAAAATAAAAAAACACCTCCCTAAAGTAAAAGACAAAGTTCAGAAGCCTGTACAAGGTTTCTCAACATACATGCATCTTAATAATATACATGTCATTCATAAAATCATATGTAAGTCACACATAATTTCATTTGTACAAACACATAGAACTCCTGAATAAGCTTAAATGTATAATTTATTCATATAATTCATAACTTACATGTAAATTATAAATACGTTCATATATAATCGATAAACATCTTTATACTAGAGGTAATAACTGAAAACTTTTATTGATAAGCATGTTGGACAGAAAATTTCACAGACTACTGCTCTGCACACTATGAAGGTGAATATTTTGCTCATAAATTATGGGCTCATAATTACTTTTAAAAATAATTCCAGGGGTGGGCACATTTGGCCTAGCAGCTTAGGTGCAGATGGGATGCCCACATGCTACACCAGAGTGCCTGTGTCCCACTCGGGGTGGGGCTCCCCGTGCAGCTTCCTGCTAACACCCTCGGGCAGACAGCAGAACAGTTCCAGTGACTGGATCTCTGCCGTCCATCTCCTCGGGTTCCTGCCTCCCAGCTCTGTTCTGGGCCCAGCTCTAGCTGTTACAACATTTGGGAGTAAACTAGCAAATGCAAGCTCTATCTAACAACAACAACAAGAAAAAATTAACATTAAACAAAGAAAAGCCCTTTATTCGCACATACAGGACTAAACTCCCCAACCTCGTTTCTATGATGCCCCATGCTGCTGTCCACCTGTGCCCTGCAAATTACCTTGTAAAAATGCCGAACCAGGTGAACACTTTCTTCCCTCGCACCCTGTTAAAAGAGAAGGAAGGAGTGAAGCAGGACGGTCTTACAGAAAGGAGTGAATTGGTGGCTCAACTATGCCTCTAAAACCTGACAGTATGTAAAACATGCTGGGTAGTATCTTTAAAATACAAAATGGCTCTTAAGGAGCGAGGGAGGGAGGGAGGGAAAAAGACATTAAGATGAAAAAGGCAAAAGAACAGGCAATTTAATATTTAATGTAATGACATAGAAAGTTAGCAAACAGTTGGCTGGGGGACAACAGGTGATAAAATAGGGCTGTTCTAGCTCTGTTTTTATAAAGTAAAAAAGAAAAACAACAACAACAACAACAAAAAAAAACCCCCAAAATCCTAAGTGTGCATGCATTGTGTGTGTGTGTTAAGAATGCAGCTGGTGCCATGGTGAAGTAGTGTAAGCTTCTATCTGCATCCCCTGGGAAAGCAGAAGATGGCCTGAGTGCTTGGGCCCCTGCATTCATGTGGGAGACCTGAATGAAGCGCCTGGCTCCTGGCTTTAGATTGACTCAGCTCCGGCCATTACAGCTATCTGGGGATTGAACCAGTGGGTGGAAGATCTCTCTCTGTCTCTGATTCTTCTATTACATTGTTTTTCAAATGAAAATAATTTTCTTTCTTTAAAGAATGTATCTTGGATGCACTGTGTCACAGCACGGTAAGCCATCACTTGAGATGCCTGCACTCTATGCTGGAGTAGCTGGGACAGAGTTCCACTCCCACTTCTGATCCACTCCTGCTCATGTGCACCTTGGGAAGCAGCAGCTGATGGCTTCAGGAGTTAGATCTGGCTACCCATATGGAAGACCTGGATGGAATTTCTGGTTCCTGAGTTCTGCCAGGCCCAGCTGATAGCTATTGAAGTATTTGGATAATCAGTCAGCAAATGGAAGCTATCTCTGACACTCTGCCTTCCAAAATAAATTAAAATAAACTTTTTTTTTAAACAGAGTGTATCTACATAGACACAAAGTGTCAACTATAGATGTTACTCTTACCTCTTGTACTTCCTACATTTTCTTCGAGAAATATGTAAAATAAGGAGGGGAGGAATGAGAAGAAACAAAGGCAACCGAAAACCTAATGAATATTTCAGCATACAAAACTATAAATAAATATGTAAAACTTTTGTAACACAAAAGAAAGTTAAGCCTTGATGGCAAAGGCTGACTCATGTAATTACTCTATCAGAACTACTACAATCCAGGGACCAGGCGCACTCTGTGAGCCAGCCTAAGCAAGTGAGTGGTGCACAACTTGAGGCGTCTTGGCCTCGCTGCTGCTAGCAGGTGTTCCAGACACTGCAGATCAGGGGCTCCTGTCTGGATGCCAGCAGCTTCCTTCCCACCCCCGACCCTCCTCAGACCCAGGAAGGGGAAAGAGCAGAGGCCCTGACCTCCAGGCAGGCCAGGTGCACATCCTTGATGATGCAGCCGCAGCTGGTCAGGACTTGTTGCTTCAGGAGCAGGCAGCTCAGCTCTAGTGTCGCCAACCGGATCTTCCCATCTGCAGAGCACACCAGGGTCAGTGCAGAGCCTCAGGGCCCGGTGCCCTTGAACACAGGGTTTTTGCCTTACCCACTTTGAAATGAAAGGGTCATCTGACAGGTGCAAGAGCCCCAACATCCAGTGCGGACCTTGGAGGGATCCCCTTAATGCCAAGCTCCTCCCAGTCAGCTACAATTTCATGCTCCCACCACCACTTCTGTGAAGTCTCCTTATTAGGGAGACATGAGCGGGAGGAAGAGGAAACTCACTGGGCCCAGACAGAGGCCCTCTAGTCTCATTCTGCAGGTCCAGCATCCTGCCCTTTTCAGGAATGCACACCCCACATTCCTTTGGACAACCCCTGCCCAACTGAGTCATATGAATTGTGTAGAGCTGGTCCCTCTTCCCCTTCCTTCCTGGGGGATTGGGGGCGGGGGTACAGTCAGCAGGGCAAAGAGTCCAGGTAGAGAACTAGCCAGGGAACTGGGAAGGCTCAATCCCACCGCTGGCTGAGTCACCAGGCAATATGCCCGGTAGCAGAGGACAGGCCATGGTGGGGCAACACAGAGCAAGTGTGCTAATTCACACAGCCACTTCCCCACAGGCAATGCTGATTTTTGGAAGGAATTCTGCAAATGAGTCTAATATCTCCCTTCCACCTAGAGGACCTCCCAAAGAGCAAGTTTAGAGCCTCAACAAAGGGGATGGCTGGAGAGGCAAGCAGTTATCCCATTAACCCAGAGAATGGCAATGCTCAAACACAATCTACAAAACTTGATACCCTGGATCCAGCTATGCCTGAGTCAGAACCCAAAAGGCTCTATAAGCCAGGTTGTGGCTGTTGTTAGTCTGGTTGTTTCTATTGTATTGCTTTAAGCCAGCCTGAGTTAGAAATCTGTCAACTACAACCAAGCTGTGACCAACACAGCTTTCTATGCTATCCAACTGTGAGCCAGGCACGGTGCCAGGGGCTTTTAAGCAATCTCTATAAATCTCTAGTGATGGGTACCCTGAAGACTGAGAGTTAGACATGTGGAGGACTCATCCAGGATCTTACAGCTGGGCCGCACAGACTCTGCAGTTCTGAATGCCAGAACCCACATCTGCCATGCCTTTCTAAAAGTGCATGTAACTGCTGACCTGCTCTTTGGCATATTTCTGAGGAAAGGTCCCACCCAGTATGGTCAGAGGGGCCAGCAAAGGCGAGAGTCTCTGGGCCATGCCTCTGAGGCTCTGAAAACACCCAGGGTCAAGCTGGGCCACTGAGGACCACGCACACAGACACACTCTACATACTTCCCTGCCTGCCCTTTGGTCAAGTGTAAAGAGATGAGAAGTGGAAATCTGCCTAATAATGAAAAAGCCACCTATGCATACATGCAAAATGGGCCTTCCTAAACAAGATTCAAATCTCCTCCCCCCAGGGAAAAAAGCTGCTTAGTTTTCTGCCTTCTGCCACTCTTCCTAGTCAAACACTCCTGCTGTTGTCTCCAGGCAGGCAGAATAAGTCTCCACTCAAAAATCCCACTACTTTTGCAATGGGGGCCAGAAAGCCCCTCCCTCCTCAGCCCAGCTCTCAGATAGAATGCCTGGCTGCCAGTGCAGCAGCCCCGAGGGGCCCACTGTTCCTCCTCACCCTGATAGTTCTCTACTGACAATCAACACTCCATCTGTCTCAACTGCCCAGTCCTAAATGGGGTCCATGGTTCCTGCCACCCTGTTCCCATCAGCACCATCCTTGGGGACAGATACAGCCTCTGGGGTTGGGCCTGTCAGCTGTCACTGACCCCACTGACCACTTCCCTCTCTGTGCGCCAAGGCTGGCAAAACTGGTAAGAGAAGGCCTAGATACACAAGGAAAAGGAAGATATTCTTACTGTTGGGAGTGGGGTGGAGAGTGGGAAAGGGAGAGGACTGCAAGATGAAGAGGCAGAAAGGAGCATCTTGGGGGCCCAGCAAGAGGTGTGGGTCTCAGGAGGGCCAGGTCCATAATCCCTGGCCAGGGTACCCTGCCACAGGTCTGCTCCCTGACTCCATGGTTCTGTGCACAGATGACACTCAAGGTGGGCACCTGGCTGGGCAGCGTTGTTCATGATCCTGATGAGTCTCTCGGCCAGCAGGTGGTTGTAGGTGGTCTTCTCAGCCATATTTGGCACCGGCAGCTGGATTCGCTCTAATTTTTCAGGGTCCATCCCTGGAATGGAGGAAGAAAAAATAGAAGCAGAGCCACTCTAGGAGACCCTGTCATCCTGAAAATGCCCACACAGCAGGCTCTCCTTAACCACACCCATCGTCCTTGGGGGTTTCTGTCCAGACTAGCTGTTGCTTGTCTTACAAGTCATCTGAGATTTCTGAAATAAACTTGTGCATGTATATTAAAGCACACACTTTTCTATCACCACTTGAAACCAGGAAATCAGACTTGATGCAGTATCTGACGGGAACTGCAAGGGCAAAGGGCAACACTGCTGTTAGAGCCCAGCTGGGGGCTCTGATCGCTGAGGCCTGCCCTTTCTGCATTCATTGGTGACACAGAGGCACAGGGAGTGGGCATTCAGCAGGGTGGTTAAGACGCTGGTTGCATACTAAGAGCCTAGGTTGTATATGTGGTAACGGTGTGAGTGACTGGCATGAGTCCCCAGCTCTGGCTTTGACCTGGCTTAGTCCTATCCACTGTGGACATTTGAGGAATGACCCAGCAGATAGGAGCTATCACTCAAAAAAGTCATTTTATAGAGACTGAAAACAAAATAGCCTCAAAATGATGACATTCACAAGCAGAAGAATGCAAGCAGAAGAAATTTCTACACAGTTCAAGATACGCCATCTGCTGCCAGGTGTGTGTACCACTGAGGCTACTCTTGTATTCAGAACATCCCATACTCAGGAAAACACAAAGACAAGGGAAACACAGTCGTGCCCAACAACTGAAGCTCTCAGGACCAAATCCATGAGCTGGGCCCAACACTGGGAAAGCACAAGCACAGCAGTTTTTCCTGTGAGTAAGTTAGACATGACTCCTACCCTGACACAGTGGCAACAGCAGAAAGAGGCCAAGCCTCACCTTTATTTCAGAAAGTGCACACACAGTGAAGTCAACAACACATACCTGTCAGTGAGAGGCAAAGGAATGATTTTTCCAGCCTGTGAAGACGCAGCGTTTAAGAAAAAGGAGGAAGTGGGGTATGTGAGGTGAGTGGGAAAGGCTGGGGAAATGAGTAATGTTAGCACCTGTGAGCCCCATTATCATTTTTCCTGAAGAAGGACCAAGAGCTGGCACAACAGGAAGATTCGTCAGGGCTTCTAGAATACTCTAGGCCTGAAACAAGAAGTTTTCAAACCCCTTATCCTCCCACCTACTCATCACATGGCTCTTGAAAAATCCACTTACAGAAACAAACATTTCACATAATCCAAGCTTGGAGAACCAAAGGGATTGTTTATGCTTAACGCACGTCTCTTCCTGTTATTCTACGAAAGGGGGGAAGGTGGCACTTCTCGGAACTCTTGAAATCAGGCCCCTGGAGTGCCAGATGATGCTTCATTTAGAACCCTGACAAAACAGCAGAGGACAGCACTGAAGAGCTCACTGTCTGGACTCTAAGCAACTCCTACACACGTGCTGACGTAAGAAACTGTAACAATATACTCACTTAATTGAATTCCAGCTCTGAGCGCAAAGCCAAGTGGTACCAAGGAGATGACACTGGGGAGAGACAGTCCCGTGCTGAATCGGGAGGACTTACAAGCCCTACAAATGCACCTGCACCATGACCCTGGCAGCAGAGGAAGCCTCTGCACTTCACCGCAGCTAATGCCGAAACAGTCTGACTTGCTGACAGCAAGAAGAGCACCAACTGAATGTCTCCGGCATTTGGTTTTTGTTTTTTTTTCCCAAAGAAGTTGTCCTAAGGTTTCTATTCTTGACTTTCTGGTCCTTTGCGGACTTCCAGTTAGTGGTTCTAGGGAAAGCCCCCAGCTCCTCTGCCTTGCAGCATGACAGGCAGCCTGTCAGTTACTACACTTCAGGGGGCAGTGGAAGAAGCCCAGCTCCTCTGGCATGTGGCAACGGTCGGCAGAACCAGGGGCAAACTTGAATTTCCAAGGGGAGTTCCGGTTTTATTTCTTTCCTATCTATGATCACTCTCCCTCCTCAGAAATTCTGGAAAATGGGAAATCTGGGGCAGAAATCTTTTAATGACAGGAAAAAAAAAAGTTCTGAGGTTATCCTGATCCTTCTTGTTCAGTGGCTCTGCTCTCTGGAAAGGGGGTATCCCAGAGGATCGAACACATTTCAATTTAGCAAAGATTTAGACTCTAATTTTTTCCTTTAGAAGGGAAATCAAGATCCAGAGATGTGAAAACGATTGTCCAAGACCACAGAGCAAGACAGAGGCACAGCCCTAACCTTTATAAATGATTCTGAGAGATTCCTGGACAGGGTCCAGATGGGGAGAGGGGAGAACCAGCCTCCCAGTGAACCGCCCCAGAAGCAGCCTGCAGGAGGCTGATGACAGTGCCTGACCCGAGGTCTGCATCCCAGGGACACAGGGAGCAAGTGCAAGTGCAGGAGGAAATTTGGATATTTGACCTCTCGGGACCTCAGTCTCCTCAACTGTAAAATGGGAGAAATGACAGTAACTGCGTCCTTCAAGAATTGTGATTGAAATCCAATGAGAAATAGCATGCAGGCTCGGGTCACTGTTGCCTTATACTATATACAGGTGGGAATTGTCAGGATGAGCACAGATGATGTTTCTCTATTATGTCACAAAAGGAAAGAACAAAAGATGGAAATGGAAAACCTAATGGAAGCTAAAACAGAGCTTAGAAGACGGTCCAATGAGGGGATGCTGAGACATAGGGAGCCTGGCTCAGGCTGTATCTGAGAGATGAAAGGGAATTTGCCTGCAGCTGGACGGGGCGACAGGTGAGGACAGCTAGGAGCAAGGCAATGACTGATCTTGTGTTTGGGGAGTGCTTGGTGGAAGGTTGTGATAAACCAATGAGCCAGGTGATGGGGAAAGGGCAGGCAAGGTGCAGGTGCCGGGATCCCTAGAGGGTGACCAGTGGAGGGGCCGTCTGAGAAGCAGCTAGTGGGAGGCGACATGACCCAGCTGTGATCTGGTGAATTGGAGTGTGGTCTCCCCTGAAACAGTCCTGGCATTACCATGCCTTTCATATCAGTCTATTTCATGTAACACATGACAACACTTTGTAAAACAAACCCTTTGAACATCTCCATTCTTTCTCTAAATTTTCTTCCAGGCCAGGTTCCTCAACACCTCTCCCTTTTCTTTCTTCCATGACAGACTCCACATCCCTTCTGTTCCTCTGGATTTTTCCACTGTGGCCTTGGCTTTTCAGGCCCATGCAGCAAGACAAACACTGCAGTCGTTCCTCTGGGTCCAGCCACCCAGGAAAGCAGTCAGTGGCCACTGGTCATCAAGTGCTTCTCAAGCAGGCCTCATCCTTCATCAAAGTGCTCTAATGCTTAATAACACACCTAGGTCTCCTTGGGTAAAGACAGGGTGTCTGGGAGGATGAAGCCATAGACAATGAGATTTCTTTTACACAACAAGCCCTGAAAAAATGGCAACCATGAGTCAGGCATGCTGTGTGAAATGCCTCATTAAATCTTGACCACTACCTGGGAAGTAACTAACATGCTTTTGTTTTACAGGTAAGAAAACCCTAGGCTGAACAGGCTAAGAACCTCTGGGGTCATGCAGGCAATGGGAAAGCCAGAAGCTGCATACAGCTCCTGACTGCCCACTCACCTTCCATTTTCTCTGCCTTTGTCCCACGACACTAGCTTAATTCTTGTTTTCCCCTCTCTCTGCTCAAGTTACATGTGTCATCGCATCTGGCAGTGTTCTGAGCACAGACCATCATCCATAAATGTTTACTGAATTAATTTTTATAAGAGCTGAGTAAATTTGATAATTAGCAATTTCAGTCAAATTCAGTATTCTGATCAGACACATCTCAAAATCAGGGGAAAACAGACATTAAGCAGAAGCCACAATGCTACAACCATGCAGCCCAGCACAGCTATTACCTTTACATCAAAGGTGCAACACAACTGCCCCTAAGTGGCACATCACAGGCAAGGGAAAAAGCACAACAATTCTTTTTTCTTTTCTCCTTTGTTTTCCTTCCTTCCTTCCTTCCTTCCTTCCTTTCTTTCAAGGGAAAAGGCACACAAATTCTTCTTTCCCTCCCTCCCTTCCTTCCTTTGCTTGTAATAAGCATTACAACATCACTTTGCTTAGGAAGGCATTTAATCTGCAGAAAACCTTTGATTTGGGCTTAAACCACCTGTTCCTGAAAGAGAATGGTAGCTGCCAGCTCAGAATGAATAAAGTCACTGCCACATTGTGTCAGCGATACACACGCCTGTGACTGGGAAGATCACACATGGGCGAGGACATACCTGCATACACACAAACACTGCCATTTTCAGTTACAGAAAGGCAGGTTTTATTGCAAATCCAACAGTTCCTTTGTCAGCTCTCTCTCTGACTGAAACAAATGCAGAAGCTAACACACTGCCCTGTTTGCTCAACACTTAAGTGCCTGGCAATACACAAATTCCAAAGAAACCCTGGCAGTTTCTCAGGGCCAGGAAGACGCCCTGGGCAGCTATGATTCCCAGCAGGTCCCAGGCGTCCCTGCTTCCCCCAACCCTAGCAGCTGGCCTTGGGCCCACAGGGGTCAGAGCCTGTGCTGCTGCCCAAATGAGTCAGAGCAGGGTGTCCCTTCTCCATGGGGTGGGGCTGGGGATGGAACTCCCAACTGGCGGGTGTGGCTGCACACTGTAACTTGGACCCAGCGTTCCCCTAAGTTCAGTTTCTGGATCTTTCCCACTCAGAGGTAGATCCTATTCAGGGCAGAGGCATAAAAGACATAGACCAAAGCTATGTGGAAAGAATTAAACAGACAAACCTGATGAAGAGGCTGTGATCACACCAGGTAAGTAACATAAAACATTTGCACATTTCTTTTTGATCACATGAAGTTTCCTTGGCCGCAGTATAAACATTGCCAGCTTTGGAACACTAGATACTAAGCTATTTCAAAAGTTTACCAGATGGTGGGCTTGTTTCCAAGGTCCTTCCAGGCCTGATTATGTGGCAGCTGAAAACCATAGGATGTTTTGCCAGCTCTCTGCCTGGCAAAAGCTTCTCTTGA